ACACCACTTATCTTGGTGTTGTCACCAGCAAACTGCTGAGGGTGTACTCAATCCTGCTTTACATGTCATTGATGAAGATGTTAAAGAGTACCACTTCCAATACTGACCCCTGAGGAACACCAGTCATCCATCCAGACGATGTTGAGCCATTAGGTAACGATTGAGCCACTGGATACGATATTGCAACCGAATCCTCATCCATCAAACAGTCCACCCATCAAATCCATATCTTTCCAAATTGGAGAGAAGGATTTTATGGGGGACCATGTCAAAGGCCTTACTGGAGTCCAGATAGATGACATCAGGGGCTATTCCCCTGTCCACTGATCAAGTTATACCATTACAAAAAGCAGCAAGATTGGTCAGGAAGGACTTGCCCTTATTGAAGCCATGCTGGCAGTTATCATCTCCCTCTCTTCCATGTGCCTCAGCATAGCTTTCATTGGGATCTGCACTATTAACCACTGTCAACCACTTCTTTTAAAATTTTGATGAAACTGAGCCAGTTCTGCTAGTTACTTTATAGCCAGGAGAAGTTAGCAGAAGAGCAATTAGATGTCTTGCTGAAGACTGCAGGTCAAGGGGCAAATGTAGGAATAACATTGTTATCCTTGTCTTCTAGGATGCCATTTCTTCTCACTAAGTCTCAAACTTAGGCAGATATTTTATTTATGTATGGTTATATAGAGTGTGAAAGATCACAGTATGCAGAGATTCTAGAATCTTTTTTGCATGCATTTGTTAATTTATGCACAGTTGGAAGTATTCTTGATGAGCTGAAGGACTGCTATGTTGGTTTTCTCTGTGTTCTGCTTAACTGAAATGATATTTGCTTTTTTTTTTTTTTTTTTTTTTTTTTTTTTTTTTAGAATTTGGTGCAGTGGTACATATGATACATTTTTAAGTCGGAGTAGATAAAGCTACATGATGCCAGAAAATAAGATCCTCCAAACAGACAGCTACTGAATGTTTCTTGACCTATCCATTGAATAGATTTGCTAGGATTACAGGACTGTTTTGATCTTGTTTTGTACTCCAGGGCTAGCGGTATATTTAAGGTTCCCTCCAGTGATTTCAAAGTCTTCTCACCTTTGCCCGATTAAAGCCTCCTACTTTACTCACACTGTGATCTACAAACAGCAAAAAAACTAACGAAATCAGCTTTGATTCCTTCACTTCTATTAAATACAATGTTGCAGCTCAGGTCAGTGATCTTCAAATTACCATATCTTAGACAAACCAAAGGAAAGTGTGTTGTATTACCTTATTGCCTGAGGGAATGGCATGGATCTCTATCAGGGGAGGACTGGGGGGACTAAGGAAAGATTCTTCAGCACAGGACATTGGGCATGGAACAGACTGCCCAGGGCAGTGGACACAGCCCTGAGCTGCTGGAGTTCAAGGAGCATTTTGATGACACTCTCAGACATTGGGTTTGGGTTTTGAGTGGTCCTGTGTGGAGCCTAGTGTGGGACTCAGTGATCCTTTTGGGTACCTTTCAACTCACCAACTCAGGATATTCTATGATTCTATATTAGCTGTGCATGAATGGCTGTAGTTGCTATATCCATCTGAAAATATTGCTCTGTGAATTTTCTCATGCCCATCTTTCTGATCAGGATGAATATCTCAGAAATAGAAAATTGCCTATTTGATACCTGAAGTTTTATGAGTTTCCAGTCAGTGAAGAATACAATAAACTTTGTGTTAAAATAAACTTTGAATGACATTCTTGCTTGAAAGCCTATTATTTACAGGCTCTGTAGGAAGTGTAAGTAGGAGAGATGATGGGGCAGGGGAGGATCATTGTGTTCAAAGAAGTGGTTTCATGGTCAGGGTTAGGTAGGAGACTAAGGGGAAAATCTTGGTGGATGTCACTGGAAAATCTTGCCAAGGCTTACAATGGACAGAGAGATGTGATTAGAAAAATGTAGATCAATTTTTGAAGACTAAATTGTTCCTTGCTAGCTTTCAGAGATGAGATGACTAGTTCTGTGAATGAGGGATAATCAGTGGTTGTCATCTGCCTTGATGTAAGCAGGGCTTTCAGCACAAGTTCTCAGTCTTGTAGCCAAGTGAGAAAGACATTGATGGTGTTAGAGGACAAATGAGACATTGGCCAGACCACAAGATGGCTAGTTGTTAGCAAGTCAAAGTTCAGTTGCTGATCATTTACTTGTGATGAGCCTACTGAGTTGATGCTACAAATGCTGACTTCTTCATTGATAACTTGGAGGAAATTCTTGATTCAGAGCATGATGAGGCCCTGGCACTGCTGTCCAGGGAAGCTGTGGACGTCCCATTCCTGGAAGTGCTTAAGGCCAGATTGGATGAGGCTCTGGGCAGCCTGAACTTGTGGGTGGTAACCAGCCTGTGGCAGTGGGTTAGAAACTAGATGATATTTAAGGTCCCTTCCAACCCATGCCGTTCTTTGATTTTGTGATTCCTCAGCATGCTAAAAAGTTCTGGATGGAGGATGACCAAGGTGGTGGAGCAGGACAGTGGCTGGGAATGGTTCATAGATCTTGTACAGGAAAACTGTGGGAAAGCTTAATTTGTTCATACCAGAGATGATTTTTTGGAAAAAAGATATCATGGAATCATAGGATCATAGAATGGCCTGGGTTGGAAAGGATCTGAAAGATCATGTAGTTTTAACCCCCCTCCTATGGATAGCATCTCCAACCACCAGACCGGGCTGCCCAGCTGCTGTCCTCAACCATTTAAGGGATGGCTAGAGAGATGAAGCCAGACTCCTCTTGGAGATGCAAAGAAGGGTGGGATGAGATGCTACATACACAATATGCATTAGGTGAAATTCTGAATACGTATATAAATGTGTGTGTGAGCGTGACAAAAAACTCAGAGTATTTTAGCATTGAAACAGGGACCTTGCAAGGCTATAAAAGTGTTGAAAAGAAGCTGAGCATTGTGAAAAATGCTCAGGTTCTGCTTGGGCTTGTGAGAGAGAATAAAGCAGTAAATGAATTTCCAAATTAAATTCTAAGTGCTCTAAATATTCTTTTTAAGAATGTTCCTACAACTGCTAGTTTCTGATTCAGAAATTTTTTAATTTTGACTTTAGGATAATCTGATACAGATATAAGGCTTTGTTCCTAAACTAGGCTAGAAGCAATCAATTACAGTACGGGAATTTTTGGAAAGTGATTTCTGAAAGATGTTTTCTCTTTCAGTATGGATTGTTTTTTAAAGCAGTGGATAGGTGCTTTCATTGTGAAGGTTGCAAACTTCGTTTGTGTATGTTACTAGAGCTTTTGTCTGTATATTAGAAGAAGATCAAATCAGTGAAAGAAAAGTTTTGGTAAAGATAGTAGAATATTATTAAAAATAATCTTTTTCTCATTTTGGAAAGGTATCATTCTTTAAGTATATTGAGCTTAATAATCATATAAGGTGAAATTAAAAAAAAATAAGGTGAAAATGTTTAACATTCAGTGATATTAGTGTTATAAATCTTTACATATGCCTAAAGATAAAAATAGTGTAACCAAATGACCTTCAGCTTTTATTTATTTCACAGTGTCCAGTGTTATGGGGCACAATGAGAATAAATGTGTTTGTGTATAAAGCATTTGTTCAGTTACTAAGCATTTATATGGAAGGACGCCCCGTCCATGGAAGCATTCAAGGCCAGGCTGGATGGGGCTCTGAGCAACCTAGAGGGAGGTGTCCCTGCCTATAGCAGGGGATTGGAACTACATGATCTTAAAGGTCCCTTCCAACCCAAACCATTCCAGGATTCCATGATTATATGATACTGAACTGCATATTGTGATGATAACTGATACATGGCATGATATATACAGACTGTATCTATTTCATTTTCAGTTTTTGTTCATGAGTTACCCAGTTGTATAGAAATAATGACATTAATTAATCATCAATAGCTGTTGAGCAATAATGTACACTTTCTTTGAAAAGAGTTATGTTACAATAACTGCATCAAAAATTGGAAAGAACCTGTGATACTCTCAAAGCATTTGAATTACTGCACTAATTAATGATACATTCTTAATTGGGGTTATGTTGCTTAAATTCCTGCAGTGAATATTTGACAGTAGAAATATGATCACTGTTTTCAGTAGTGCTGTACTCATCCCTGATATGCAGAAAGAGATTTTTTGTCTGTACAATTTTGAAGTACAAGCAGTCATTCATCAACTAACATACAAAGTAGATACATAAATACTTATTAATACAAACTAATTTACTTACAGCTCTCTGATCCACAGTATCTGAGCAAGGGTTACGCAGCTGGGTCAGATCAGAGCTTGGTCTTGCATCACCACCACCAAACTACAGTAAGGGAAGGGGTAGAGATTGAGGCATTTCAGGTGTATGTAAAGTAGCATGGATATGGATTGCATCAATGAGCTGAAGATCAGGTTGGAAAGCTTTACAGACCCACAGAACTTGTAAGACTCAGCATTAGCTGAGTGCACATGAGCTGTGCAGGATATATAGCTTTGATTAAAAAATCTCGTTATATATGTGCATATATATAATATATATAATAATATATATAATAACTATAAAATATATACAGTTATATGATACAAATCAGTAATAGTTTGAATGTTATACTGTGCAAAATTAAATGATTATTGTGGTTTTGCTTGATCACAAAAAGTGGGCTTGTGAGGTAAGGGTAATGGAAAGCCTCACCTCTAAGTTTGCTTAAATCATAAGTTGAATGCATCATGCTTCCTACGTAAAGTGAATGGCTGTTTACTGTACATTTGGGTTGTGATCCAAAGCCTATTGAACTTGAGAACAGAATGATCTGTGATTTGTAGGTTGAGAATCTATTTATTTCATCCTTAACTGACTGAATGGTACCCAAAGTTATGTGCTGTTATGTGATGTGAGATCAATGGGAAGATAAGCTGTTATGCTTTTAATTTAATATGTCATTGTGGGCATTTCAATATTAAGAATTTTCAGGGTTTACATTTTTTCTCTTTTTTGTTTCCTTTCAGGCAAGCCCTGCCCCTATAATTGTCAACACAGACACCTTGGACACAATCCCTTATGTAAGTATTAATTTTCTATAGTGTGTAGATTTTTAAAATGATTTTCCCGCATAAATTTTGCTTAGTATTGGATAGAAATTATAAACAAATCCTACAATTAATTGTCTTTTACAGGTACACTGCTAATTTGTTTCTACAAGAAGAAATCAGTAATAATAATGGCAGTCAGAAAATTACGTACACATAATTTGTAATTCAAACTCCAACGCATCAACTGTAACTTACTATAACCAACCTTCCTTTGCAGAAAGAAAGGTGATTTCATTTTTTCCTCCTTGCTAATAAAATAAAATCATGACTATTTACTTTGTAGAGCAGCATATATCCATATTAAGATTCTGGATTCACAGTACAATATTAAAAAGGTGCAAACTGCTCTTCCCATTTATCTGTATTTCCTTTGCAGTTGATAGCTGTACATGACAAATAACAACACAAGCTAGATGACTTCATGTTTTCTTATTAATATCTTTTCATTTTAATGGCTTCTAGAGAAAAAAAAAAAGAAAGAAAGGAAGAAAGAAATAAAGAAAGAAGGAAAGAAAGAAAGAAATGAAAAACAAAGTAATTTTACCCTAAAATAAATGCGTGCTTTTACTGAAGTAAAAAAAAAACCAATATATGTATTTTTTTTTTTTACAATTATTTGATAACACTTTCATTTTTGACTTTAAAAGCAACTACAGTTGAAGGTTAATTACATACAGATACATAATAAAATGGGTATGTAATAAGAGAATACCAGGCTTGATACAAGAAAAGCAAGTAGTATGAAGCTAGCCAGGCAATGTATGATCTTCTTGTATATTTTAGTGATCATTCTAAAGCTCCTAATTAATGTCTCTCAGCTGTCAAATATCCATATCTGTTTCTTACATTTCCAGTGCATAAACCTAATTATTCACCCCACTGATTATTTCACTGAGTTCTGTCTTGTATAAGGCTACTGATGAGGAAGTTTAATAGGAGGTGTCCTTGCCAGCTTTTTTGTTTCTGACAATTTATAAAACTTAGAAATTATTGTGCAGGACACAGACAAAGAATGACACTGCTGTGAAACCAGAGAACCAAATCCCTTGTTGGATATTTCAACCATTGGGAAGAGTGGAACAGTGAAATAAAATTTCTTTGTTTGTTTACATTCCACTTTCTTAAACAGCTTCCAAGTTTCAGTTTTCCTTCCTAACGTCAAAACCATCTGTTGTGGTCTCATTTCCAATAGGTCTGTCTTTTCTTCAATTTTAATGAGACACTTTACACTTGCTGTTCTCTATGGTCCATCGAGAGGGACATTGTGAGCCTCAGTTCTCATTTGCAGTGCTGGAGCTGTGCCCAGAACAGTCCACAGTTACAGTGTTAGAATTCCTAAATACAGATGCAATTACATTAGTGACAAGATGTTCAATCAATATGATTTATTCCCTCAAGGGAGCTTATCAATACTTATGCAGTTTTATGTCGCTTTTATACTAGTGTCCCTTTTACTTTAAAAACAAAAACAAAAAACCAAAAACCAAACAAACCCAAACACATACATACACAGAAGTCCAATAAAATGACAAGACGCGCCCAAGAGAAATATTGACAGTAGACTGAAAAGTGCCTGTGGGTTGTTTCAGTCTATGCATGATGTGATTTAGATAAATAAAAACAAGGTGCTTGTAAAAATAGACAATTCTGAGTTTGTAACCTTCTTCTTGTATGGGAAGAGTTATGTCCCTTAGAAATGGAACACAACAGAGCTACTATAGAGGAACTAGCCAATAATAAATGCCAAGGTGAAGCCTGCCTGCTGAGGCCAATGTAGCTCAATGCAGCTCAACAAGCTATTTTCATTTCCTTTTCTGCTATGCACATCCAGTCCATTTCCATTTCAGTGAACACGCTGATATTCTCCAAGAATTCCTGGGTGTTCTCAGAGAGAGAAGGGAGTAACAGAAATGCTCAGTATTCACAATGCGTTTTCAAATGTAATATGTCCAGTGGTCCACCAAAAATAAATTTCAGTTTTACTGTTGGTATGTAACTGGTAAATGGTGTGATTTGTCTCATCAATGTCTTCATGTAATTAAGCCTTTGATTCTGTTGACATTAAAACCTTTCAACTCAATAGCTGAAAAAATCATCCTATTAGGGATTGTCTTCCTTCTGTATACTTTTCTTGAACAAGATGAAAGAAAAGGCCTTATTGTGATATATTGTATGTTATTCTTTATGATTTAGAACAGAAGAAACAGTTAATTCATTTTATTTCTAGGTTCAGTAACTTGAAAACTTTGGCTTGGTGAGCATAGGAATAAATTTGATAGGAAGCTTCAGTGGTACAAAGCGAATTATACCGTGGCATTTTAAGCACAATTAAACATTTGTGGGAGTTTGTTCTTTATTCGCTGGCTGTAAATTTTAGGTCCTATTGTATAATGAGAAGCATTGATTTAATACTCTATGAATCATCTCAATTTCTCTGTTGCACAGAATAAGCTTTATTTATTTCTTTATTTATTGCTTTCCAAAATGCAGAGTTAAGTGAAAAGTACTGGCTTTTCTGCATCGTTGTCAGGAGTTGATGTGAGCCTTTTTTTTTTTTTTTTTTTTTTTTTTTTTAATGATGGAATTTGATTTTTCTTTCACCTTAACTTCATGTAATCTTAAATTCTGAGATACTTTCGTTGGTTCCTTCCTCCCTCTACTTGTCACAAAGATTTTAGAATCACATAATCACAAAATGGCTTGAGTTGGAAGGAACCTCAAAGATCATAGAAGATCAAGATTACCTAGTTTACAACCCTTGCTATGGGCAGGATTACCAGCCGAGGGCAGGGTTACCAGGCACTAGATCAGGCTGCCCAGGGCCTCATCCAAAATAATCTAAATCATTTCCAGGGATGGGCCATACAGAGCTTCTCTGGGCAGCCTGTGCCAGCACCTCTCCAAGATTTCCCCCTATCATCTAAACATCTCCCCTGAATCTCCCATTTTATTTTAAAACCATTCTTCCTTGCCCTAACACTATCCACTCATGTCAAAAATTGATTTTCCTCCTATTTATAAATTCTCCTCATATACTGAAAAGCCACAATGAGGTGTTCCTGCAGCCTTCTCTTCTCCGGGATGAATAAGCCCACACATCTTTCAAGGTTTTTTTTATAGAAGAGGTGCTCCAGCCCTCTGATCATTGTGTGCCTCCTCTGAACCCACTCCAGCAGCTCTGCATCCTTCTTGTGCTGGGGGTGCCAGTCCTGGACACAGTCCTCCAGATGGGGCCTCATGAGTACAAAGTACAGAGGGCAGACAATCCCCTCCCCTCTCCCCGCTGACCACCACCCTCACTTTCGATGCAAGCCAGGATACTGTTGAATATAAGATCTAAGATGTATGCACTTTATTCTCCTTCTGGTCCCAGTGAGTTCCTTGCATTTCGTTGTTCTCCCTTTATTCTTCCAAATTATTATTTATTATTATTATTTAATTATTTGATTTGCTTTACTAACTGTGCTGACTATACTGAGTTAATTTCCTGAAGAAGTGATTTTCAGACTCCTCTGTTTAGGTTTTTGTGATCTATAATAAACTCCTTGCGTTATTTTATGAATGCTGATTAAGGCCATGGGCACAGCTGCTTTGATGGATCTGTGCATAGGGACACCCAGAGCTCAGTATCCTTTGGTTGCTCCTGTACTAGGAACTGTGGAGGCCGTGAGGATGCCAAAATGGGGAGGTTAGTGGAAGGTTTCAACTTTTCTGCCAAATAGCTCAGCCAGTGCACCTGAATTTAGCACATGAAAGAAGGTGCCTAAAGGTTTAAATGAAGGCTGCAGGGAAAAATAAAATCTTCCTATTCTGAGTGGGAAAAAAAAAAAAAAAAAAAAAAAAAAAGGAAAAATTAAAAATTTTTAGATTTAAAAAATTTAAGGTTTTCATTGGATATTAAAAAATAGGCACAGCATGGACCTAAAGAAGTAAGATGAAGGAGGGAGGGCATGAGCTTAAGACATTTGGCATTCATAATGAATATGAATTGTGCTGTTTAACTTTGACTGGTAAGAGAGAGGTGCTAGAGGAGACAAAGGAAATTGTTGTCAGAAAGGCCAAAATCTGGATTTTTACAAAGGTAGGAAGCTCTTGGAATTGGGACTTTTTTATTAATTAGTGTTTTAAAATGTATTAACTATACGAAAGTATGTATATAAGGATTTATATATTTATATATTTATATATACATTTACTCATTTATTTATATATACATTTACTGAGCATCTGAATAAATTTGTTTCTTCCTCCTAATTAGTTTGGCAGTAATTTTGGAAGTTAGATTGTACATCTTATTGTCTCAAAGGTCTCTTATGTTTTCCAGATTGTTAAACAACAGTTTTGCTTGTTTGCTGTTTATACTCATCTTTCAGTCTGTCAGTAAATGTGGATTACAGTGAAGAAGCTAAATGAGGTAGAGCTCTGTGCCAGCTTTTAAAATATGTAGTGGTTTGGCTTCTCTGATTTTGCCCTTGAATTATAGTACAGCAATGTTGTTTGGCCTGGTAGTCACTGCTGTGTTATGCATGTCATCATTTCTGTAGTGGGATAAGAGATTTTTTGTTTAGAGTAGCAGTATTGACAAGATTGGCTTAATTCATGTTTCTAAATTTTTTTCAGATCATTAGTGAAGATGTGTTACATAACACAAGACTATAGAGTTAAAAATACAGTTCCTCCTGAAACATGCATAAATAGAAGGATTGTGCTATTTAATGATAGGTAATAGAAAAACATGTTATTGCACTCCAAAAGCCAAAGTAAAAGTATGAATGGATCTTATTCATAAGATTATTCATCTTATCCATCTGATTTATTTTGCTTCTGTTTCATACCCATTGTATTTCAAACCCAGAACATTTCAAAGCTTTTCTTGAAAAATACATTGTTTTAGAATGGAACATCTTTACAAAAGGGCCAAAGTGATTATGGAGTAAAAATATACCTGTTTTCACTCCTTCAGATGAGAG